TGTGGGTTTTTCAGGCTCTTTGGCCATGTTCTGAAGGTTGTTCTTCCCAGGGTTTCACCAGTCTCTGTGGGGCCGGCATCTTCAGAGGATAGCGTTCTGTGCTGTCCTCTGAAGATGCTGTCCTCAAAGTGCTGTCCTCTGAAGATGCCGGCCACAGAGACTGGTGAAACGTTAGGAAGAACATCCTTCAGAACACAGCCAAAGAGCCCGAAAAACCCACAACCATCAGTGGGGTGATTTTGAGGTATAGCCTAGGGTTGAGCTATATGACCAACACCACATATGTGCCTGAGGGGAGAACAGTGTAACAGTCAGCTATTTTGGATCAAAAGCTTCATGAAACTGGTGTGGTTTTATAAGCCAAAAACTTTAGTGGAAACCAAGTTGACTAAAAAGTGCAAATAGATCTTGAGGGAATTCTGTCACCGATGGCTCTAGCCCCCATCATCCTATTGAGTTCCCCCAGAGTCAGTTGGTTATTGCCTGATCTAAATAATCTAACGTTTAATTGTCATAATAGGTGACTGGAGAATCTGAAGTGTGTTTGTAGAGGTGGTGGACAGTGTCTCCTGAGTTCTAGTCCATCACTCTATATACTATAGTCCACTAGGAATCCCCATAAATGTACGTAAGTAAATATATTTAATTTTTTTCTTCCCCTGCTCATGGACAATGATGACTGTTTTTATGGGAGTCATTGTCATGGTACTGCATCTACACTGTATGATGATGTTCTTCTTCTTTATTGTGATAGTATGCCATCCAGCTGAAGTTCAAGTGTAGTTAAAGGCCTTTGGTTTCATTGGGAAAGTATGTTTGAGTAATCCTATATGCTAATATCTTCTCAACACACTGCATACTTTCATCACTTACCGTTACAGACTAGACTGTTACAAGGCGACATGGAATACTACGGTCTTGATCAAAATGTCCTCAGCCATTATTCACCTGCCCGGTTCCTCTTTTTATTCTCTGCCTCCAGGACAGGAGGAAAAATTCCCTCTCCGTTTTGTTCAAAGGTGAAGGAGACAGTAACATTGCCAGAATGTCAGCAGATAAGGTGCCTAGTGGGCCAGACCATAATCCCAGCCCACCCTCCAGCAGCGTCACCTTGACGAGGGAAGACAACCAGAAGATCCCGAAAGACACAACTAAATCATGTCAGGAAAAATCCCAAGAAACAAAACAAAACAAAAATATGGGGCACCTTGAAGACTAACTATGGACAAATGTCCACGAAAGACTAACTATGGACAACATCCATGAAAGCTCACATTAAAATATAATAGATAAGTCTTTAACGTGCCACATTTTTGTCTTGAAATGCCCCAGAGGTAGACCATAGTTGCGATACAAGGAGATCTGCAAGTGGGATCTGAAGGCCTTAGGAATGGACCTCAACAGATGGGAAACCTTGACATCCGAGCGTTCAGCCTGGAGGCAGGCAGTGCATCACGGCCGCTCCCAATTTGAAGAGACCCTTGTTCAGCACGATGAGGCAAAGAGGAATTCACAAAAGCAGCAAAACCAGGGAGCTGGACAGGGGACAGATTGGATTTGTCCTCAGTGTGGAAGGGATGGTCCCTCTCGAATCGGCCTCCTCAGCCACACTAGACGCTGTTCCAACTCCTCCATACAGAGCACGATACCGGTCTCTTGAGACTGAAGGATGCCTAATCTAAATTTGGGTTTTGCCTGATATACTTGCACAAGCTAAAACACAACTACCTCTTCTAAAACTACACCTAAATCATGGTGTATTATCCCCACCCAAAACTCTTCTTTCCCAAGTTGACAAGGTGTGAAAACTGAGTGTGAATTCTCTTCCTGAGAAAGGTCACTCTGCGTGTGGGACACCCACCCACACCCAGAGCCATGTAAGGGCACAAAAGGATTTTGAGCCAAATTTTGGCCACCTGAGGCCAGAATGTTCCTCCCCGCACCTCTCGTTCCTTCTCCTTCATGAGTGGGAAGGAACATCAGCTGGCTTTGTGATACTGCACCTTTGTCACAATTCACTGAATGACTTAATGAATGTCAGTCTTGCGTTCACGCAGGCACCGCTCTGTCCCCTTTTGCATGGGGGGTCTCTTCAGCTGACTGTGCCTCACCGGATGCTCCCTTTGAGTGGCTTATTTATTTTGGTATTTTACAAATAAATATCTCCGAGGAAGGCAGAGAATTAACTCCCCATCCTTTCACCCCCCACCCCATGGAGAGAACCCTCCTTCCCTTGCCTAAGACCCAGAGAGTAAACATTGCCCTGACTTAGATAAACAGACACTTAATGATGCGAAATACTAACAGGGGAGATAAGGGTCATTAGCTCTGAGAAAAGCCCGAGGTGTGAGGAGGAGGAAGAAATAAAATCGAGAAGGGAGAAGTTGGGAAGAAAGTGAGCCCTCTCAATTTGAAATGTTTAGAAAATGTTTAGCTTTGTAAAACCAACACTCCTCACTTTGGCCCTGTCTGTGGAGACTGGAAATTTCAAGAGCGTTTTTGAAAGGAAGTGAGAGTTTTGGACAAGCATTTCTTAAATAAATAAACAGGCAAAACTCCAGAATAAGGAACACACTACGACAGTTCTGATCAAGGCTTCATAGTTGTACAATTAATGCAATTAACGTGATCAACACAACACTGAATGTGGCAGAAGGTGCTCCTGAAAATCAAAGGAACCAGGAAAAGCATGACCCTCAGTATCGTACATGGAAAGAAACGTCCTTTCTGGGAGCAAAACGGGCTCCTAGGTCCTGACCATTCATCAAGTTTTTAAAATAATTAAGGTTGAAATATTGAGAAGGACTACCTTTCTTGAATACACACCTTAATGTGTTGAGGAGGGATGTGTGTGTCAGAGAAGCCAAGAGCCATGCCATCAGGAGACCAGACTCCAAGGTAAGCCTGGACTCCTTGCGGGTCACTGGTGGAATGGTTACAACTGAGACCCTAGTCTAAGATGCATCCAACCTCTTTGGAAGTGACCATTTTGTCAGCAGAAGGGAATAGAGAGTTCCAATGGTGATGGGGGTGGTAGTTACTGGGAAGCAGCAGGAGCTGAGGGTGACCTTGGTGGAGGAGGCAACCATGGTGACACACAAGCTACCTTTTGTTAGGAATGTGCAGAAGGTGACAATGGTAAACCACCCCTGAACCTTGCTTACCTTGAAAACCCTATGATGAGACAATCCAGAAGGAAACAAGTGATAGTGCTAGAAGATGAAACTTCTATGTCAAAAAGTACTATGTGAGCTACTGGGAAGAGCAAATGACAAGCACAAATAGCGTTGTTGCTAATGATGCATCTCGATTAAAGCTGAAAGGACAACTAGTGGCTGACAAGCACAGAGGTGAAAGGAAAGTCTGATGCTGCACAAAACATACAATTGGGACATGAAAGGTGAGAAGCATTAATCACGGCAAACTGGAAACCAAAAACAGCAACCACTGAATGTACACATGGACATAATCAGATGGCCAATACAGAAGTGAAATAGATTACATAATTGGAAGCAGGATATGGAGAAGCTGTCTGCCAGAGCAAGACCAGGGGCAGATTGTAGTAGTGATCATGAACAATTAATATCGAACACCAGAGTAAAGCTAAAAAAGAACACTAAAAGAAACATAGAGTCAAAATATAATTTAAACAACATTTTATGAGTTTAAAGTCCACATAAAGAACAGTTTTGCATTACTAAACTCAATTGAACGTGAACCAGAAGAACTGTGGACTGAAACCAGAGATATTAGTAGGTGATACAATTCCTATAGTGAAAATATTGATAGATGAAGAAAGAAACACTCAAAATTTTTAAGGGTAAGTGAGGAGCAAAACTAAAAAATGACAGAAATAGGGTCAGAACCCCTGAATGCAGTTTTTCAGTGACTGTCATGGAGAGACAAAGAAAACTATTACAAAAACCAGTGCAAAAGAAATAAACAAGAACAATAAAAGGGGAAAAACAAGAGATATCTTCCATAAGAGCCAAGAAATGAAAGGTAAATTGAAGCAGAGATTAGAAATGCTGAAAAACCAACAGGGAAGCATACTGACCAGGATAACATGTAAAAAAGGTGGAAACAGTATACTGAAGACTATACAGAAGGGATGAAAAGACATTAGTTTCTTTTGAAGAAGAATCCTATGCTGAAGAACGTGTAGTTCTAGAAAGTGAAGTGAAAGCTGCTTTGAAAGCACCAGAAATAAATAAATCACCAGGCGTAAATGGAATGCCAGTATTTACCTTATATGGAGTGAGAAATGTCTGATGTTCAAGCTGGATTCCAAAAAGGAATAGGCCCTCAAGATTATGTTGCAAATATCCGCTGGCTACTGGAGAGTATACTTCAGAAGATCAGTCTATGCTTTATACACTACAGCAGAGCCGTTCAAGCTGGATTCCAAAAAGGAAAAGGCCCTCAAGATCATGTTGCAAATATCCGCCGGCTACTGGAGAGTATACTTCAGAAGATCTGTCTATGCTTTATACACTACAGCAGAGCGTTTGGCTATGCAGATCATAAGAAGCTATGGATTGTTCTGGGGTGGGGGGAAGTGTGTCTCTCAGCACTTGATTGTCCTCAAATGATCTGTGTTGTGGAGAAGCAGCTATCCTAGTTAGGACAGAATATGGAGAGGCAGAATGGTTTCCTGTAGGCAAGCGTTTCAGACAAGGGAGCATTTCATACCCTTATCTGTTCAATCTGCACGCAGAACATATCATACAGAAAGCCGGACATTTGGATTGAAAATTGGATTGAAAATTGGCAGAAGCAGCACCAGTAATTAAAGATGTGCAGTTGGGGATTTGGGAGTCCATGTTCGGGAATGCAATCCTTAAGCCTGTTCTTACTGCAATAGTGAACTCCTGTTTATATCCTAATGCTGCTGCTCACTCCCCACCCCGCCGCCCCCTCTTCTGTCCTGTTTGCTGACCTTCCTTGGGTGAGAATCCCCCGACTGAGACATAATGGGAAATATTTCATGCAGCTCCTATTGATAGCGACTGGGTGGGTGCAGGTGCCTTTCTCACACCTTGGTGATGCCGTTTTTGGGTGCTGTGCCATCTCAGCCATAACTGGACTCCATCAAATGGATCCTCTGGCAAATTAAAGCCCACTTAAGTCTGAAATCTATCCTTCCAGTCAATTTCCATTAAATTGGAAAAGACCTGCAAGCTCCAATCAATGCACGTTTTCTTCAAAGTAAGTACCACTGCACTTTCCAAGGATTTTATTTCTCGACGGAGTAAGCATGAAGAGGAGTTGAGTCTTATTTCAGAGCAAGGAAGAACAGTGCTGGCTCCATGGGCTGAATTCCAAAGCACATTAAATAGGGTCTAAGTTCCCAGGAGAATTCTGTTAAAGTAAACATGATTAAGTTCTTGCAAAATCACCCCTTGGTTCTAATGGATATATTGTCAGAATGCCTTTCTTGAGCTCCGTGGAGATTTCAGTGGCCTTAATTGGATGGTTCCTCCAGTTTTCATGTCTGTCATTTCATGTTTATTCTCTCTTATTGATGCAAGGAGTCTAAACATAGGGCTTGACAGAAGAACTTCTTTTAAAGCAGGGGAAAAGACAGGTTACTTGAACTGAATTCAAACATCTTCTTTCCCCCTTCTTGGAAAATTCCTTTTACACGTAGCTACAGCTAAAGCCCTGCGGCCCAGAAAAGTAATTAGTTGTCACTAGAACAGTTTTCAAAGTAACACTTTACTTTCTCATTATTTCAAAGAACTGAAAATAGTTACCTTTTGAATTCTTATTAGGAGGGGAAGGGAAACCACATCAGAGTGTTGCAAGTAGATAGCTAGTGCATATTCTAGAAGTAACTAAAAAGAATTACCATCATGGCAGACAAAAGAGGTGATGTTATCCTTGTTTACAGCAAAGTTGTAACATAATTATGCCTTGGTTGTTACAAAACATAAGAAAAACGAAGTAACTCGTTTCTGGCTAGTTACTTCCAAATGCTGCTCCCACAACCCTTCTCCTATTCAACAGGCTTTATTGAAACACTAGGGAATTTACTCTTGAGTAGATTTAAAACCCCAAACGCCTGGCATAGATAGAACACTAGGATGTATAAGGAGACTACAAACTGCCTCTTGTCTTTTTATAAATAAACATGATAGTCTTTCAGTCTCATCATCATCATTTAATTTAGACTTCTCTGGGTACAAGAAGCCTGGAAGGAAAACCACATGCTGTTCTTGGTAACAAAACCAAATTAACATTGTGTTTGTTTTTTTCTGCAAATGTCTGAAATATTGAGAGGGGGTTAGATAGAAAAGAAAACCGGTATAAAAACTCTGTGGCTCATTCACTAAACAGCTGGGTAAGCTGTTCCTGGTTTTGTTGTTGTTGCTGAGTATTGTTGTCGCTTAAAAAAATAATAACAATGTGGACTCACTCTCTAAATTCACCACAAACATAAAAATGACATGAATGTAGGATCACATTTAAATTTTACCCTAAAAGGCCTTACAAACCTGCATTAAGACATAGGCACTTGTATTCTTCAGCTAATACTGCATCATTCTTATTTTTTAAAGCTACTTTAAAATCCTTTCAGGACACTAAACGTGACCAGAAGCCCCCCCAACACAAAAAAATGTAAACTTTATCTACCTTCTTCAGATCTCCCTTTCAAAGTAAAAGTTTTGGTACACTAACTCCACTTCCCAACCCCTTCTCCCCCCCCAAAAAAAATTCAAACCAGGACAATAATCCCACCACCAGCTATTACAAATAAAGTCATAAGCACACTTACTCAAGAGTAAACCTGCCATACTAGCCAAGACTGGGAGCAAATCCCATTAAACTGGCTTCTGAGTAAACATGCATCGGATTGTTCTGTGAAGTCCCATTGTACTTAGTAGTACTAACTTCTGAGTAAGAATATATAGCTATAAAATGGTTTCCTTTTATAATTAATGCATTCCTCCTCTGCAAGAAGAGGAATAGATAGGATCTAGCCCAAGGTAAGCCTTTTTTTTGAATTCTCTTGTACTTTGCACTTAATGAACTATGCTTAACTTGGCTAGGTGGTGCCCACCATTAGAAAAAAAAATAAAAAATTAAATTAAACCGTCCCTAAATCCAACTGATAGGAGCACAATAATTAAATTGAAGAGACTACAAAGGGGTGGAGGGCAAAAGGTGGGCCCCATGTATATCCCAGGTCTTATTATTTTCATTTGGCTTGCAGCTAAGACGTAAGGGAGACTAGAGATGCAAAATTTCCAAAATTTTCCATGTTTTTCCAGAAAAACAAATCAAAACACCACACACTTCGAAGTGTTGTCCTTTGATATTTTCTTATTGTAAGAACTCTTTAGAGATGCAAAATTTCCAAAAAAAATCATCATCATCATTTTTCCCTGGGGGGGGGAAATGGAAATGTTTGGAAATTTAACATCTCTTAAGAGAGGCCAAGGGAGAAGTGTTAAATCAAGGTGGAGAAGCGTGCTTCAAAAGAGATTTTTTTGGTTAAAAAAAAAGTCACTTTAAGAATCACCAGGAAAACTGGGAAAACAAAATGAAGAAGGGGAGAGGGGAAAAAAACCTGCCGTGGACGACATTGTCTCCTTATTTACAAGCCACCCACTGGCCACCTCCATCCGATTATGAGCCCAAGTCCACCAGGCTGGAGGTGAGAGGTCCAAGGAGAGAGTCTTGTAGCTGATGCTGGTGAGCCTGGAGGCCATGGCTTGTCTGGGAGGTGGTCAAACCTGTCAACGAATAGCTGGAGTTCCTGGCGTGGTTTAGGTTGCCCTGGAGCAGAAGGATGGAACTCTGATCTGGACTCTGTGGGGGCGAAAACTCCTCTTCCGAACTGGACATGAGCGGCTTAGCTCCATCCAAGGGGGACAGCTGGTTCTGTTTGTTCGTGGACACGTTGTTGTTTTCTGTGTTCTCTCTGGGAAGGGGGGGAGGGAAAAGGGGGAAAGAGAAAGAGAGAGATGGGGAAGGAAAAAGATGGGGGAATTAAATCTAGATCAAGCGGGATGCAAAAGCAGGGCGAGGGGAGTTCGATGGGATAAGACACCCAAGCACATGTTTCATCAAGCCAAACTCTATTGCAGCCAGAGCAGCGTTCAGACTTTATTTTTATTTTTTACTACAACTCCCAGAATCCCTGCCCAAAGGTTTCTGGGAATTGTAGTCCAAATGAACACCTCCAAGCTCTGAGCCAGATGTATTGGGTTATTACAGCCTGGGGGGGGGGCTGGTCCACTGGGACAAAAAAATAAGCCATTCCCCCACCATAAGCTTGGCTTCTCAACCTGTGTGTAAGTGTAAATCCCTGCACGGCAGAGGTGTACAATATCGGCTTTTGCACCTGGCTCTGCCTGCTGCCGTTCGTCATAGGCTGCTCTGCTCCACCCCACTTCACAATCAAAATGAGTGCCTCCTGGTACTTTGTGACTCCCATCATCATGGGAGTTCTTGACAACCAGCAGTTGAGAAAGGCTGCTAAACCCAGTTCATTCAAGGATGGTGCTTGGAAGCAAAAAATAAAAAATAAAATAAAAATTAAAAAAAAATTAAAAACCCGAAACCGTCTGTTAAAATTAGTTTTCAGGTGTTCCCAATAAAATCAGAACAGATTCCCAACACTAAATGCGCTCTATGCTGCAGAAGTTCCATGAAGCTCTAGGTGGCCCTGCTATTCAATACAACATTCAATTCCCCTTGCCCCCCCAAAAAAAACCCAAACTGATATTTGTAAGATCAGATGTAAAGAAAGAGTCTTGTAACACCTTAAAGACTAAGAAATTTTCTGTAGAATGGGTTGCAGTCCACTTCCTTAGATATGTTAGACAATCAGAAATTTGATTGGTCTCTTTCTGCATTATCTCTGTGTTCACTTATTCCCAGGGTAAGAGCCTATGGGATCCTGAATCCTGGTTTAAGGGCTATGTTTCTCATTTTCCTCTGTTCTTCACCTTTGAAAACAAACCCTATGGAAAGGGCCGCCTATAATTGTACAAAGAAAACAATGCTAAACCAACATCTTCCAGACTCATCCTCATTGAACATAATGATATTTCTTTCTAAGTACACTGGTGCTTGAAATACTGTAGAGAGGATTCAGCTTAGCAGGTCGGGGGACAGAAGCGAGCCCCAAAAAACGACAATCCAGTACAGTCAAGGCAGCCCAATACAATATTAAGCTGTCCTTCTGAATGTTCCATCTGAATAAAAACAAGCTCAACTGCAACTAACAACGAGGAAGGGTCGTGCAGTAGAACGTTTACAGTCCGGGTGTCACAATGTGGACCCAGAGGCGAGGAAAATGGGGAGGACAATTTGGTTTAACCAAAAATTTTAATTTTTTAAAAATGCTGTTGAGGACATCATTACCACATTAAAAGATCCAACTAAGTCTTAATCAAAGTTCTTGCCAAAGCACTGTAGCCGTGTAATACTACCTATCTCTACTCAGGAGTAAGTCCCCCGGGGTACAATAGAGATAACTCCCAAGTAAGGCAATTCTTTTATTGCAACAACCTAAATCCTTTTTTACCCCCCCCCCCGGGGTACAATAGAAATAACTCCCAAGTAAGGCAGTTCTTTTATTGCAGCAACCTAAATCCTTTTTTAAATCCTTTAGAAAACAAAGCCTTTTCACCAGTTGACCCTGAGGAACAAAAACTGTTTCTAAAATTGGCTGGACCATGCCCTAAATATCTTAAAACTAAAGAAATGCAATGGGCTGCACACAAGTATTTTATGCACACAGGAAGGGGGTAATAAACTGCACTGAGTCCCTTAATATTTTCTAGAACAAATTTCCTCTTGCCCTTTCCAAGTGAAAGTGAATTATTTCTAGAGTAGGAAAGGTCTGAACCACAAATCCAGTATATTTTCTCTGTTTGATCTTAGTGGATTTAAACCAGGAAGTGAGATTTTACGGGGTGGGGGGTGGGGTGGTGGCTCACTGGCTACAGAAATCCAAATTAACATTTTAAAAATCAGCACAATGCATAGTACTACTCCGAAGTAAGTGCCACTGACTAGAATGTAACTTAATCCTGGATTTGGGTGGAAAGTGCATAGATACGTCTAGGATCAATACTTAATAGTGCCTTTAGGTTTCGTTTCCTCCCTCTGCTTTGCCATGCATTCAATAGGAGCATCTGACCACACAGATCAAGGATGGTAATATTCTTAGTGTTTGGCAGGATGATGCTTCAGAGCCCCAGGTGGTAGTTTAACATGACCCCCTCTTCCTAACCCAGTTAACAAACAATGGAAGGGGTTGCGTAGTTTCCCCTAGCACCAACTTTCTTACAAAATTACTAGATTTAGTCATACTCAGAGTAGCCATGCTGAAATCAAAGAGGTTTAAGTCACTGATCACTAACTTAAGATCTGCTGGTTTCCATGCATCTAAACTAAGAAGGGTTAAATCTGGATCCTGTCCCTATGAAAAAAAAATGAATTATAGCTTCTCTCTTTTTTTATGGTGCAAATTTCTAGTCAATTACTATACCTCGCTTCACTTCTGTAATAAAAGAATCTAACAAGCAAGATGAGAAGAAAGAGAGCTAACAGGTTTACTCTTGAGCAAGCCTGCATTAAAACCTTACTCCATAGGGAAGCTATTCCCCCTCCCCAAGCCCTGGGTTGGCCGTCCTCAAGACCTATTGAAATGAATAGTAACCTCTGACTAACTTCAGTCACCTTGTTGGGATTATGATCTTCCAAGAAGCTTTGAGGCATAGTCTCAATAAATTTAGGAATACTGTACTCTGAACGAGTCTCCTGATTTCTACGGGAGCAACAGAGGAATTGGGTGTTATCCTTTTCATTCACACACCCCAGAAATTCACAGAAATATACGGGATCAGATCAAGAGTCAGAATCCACACTCTCCTGTAGGACCTCGGGAAATGGTGACGCAAGAACTATAAATTCAGACTGTTTTGAAAGAGTGAACAACTTGAGTCTCAAGCAGAATATCCAAGCCAAAACATGGTGAGTCAAGGTTTTCCTCAATAAGGAATCCCTCACTCCTACTGAAAAGGAGCAGTCCTTTTTATTTCCCCCTCGGGGCATCTGATTCCAAGCACCACTGGCCAATCAAGGGCAAACCCTATTGAAACTGCTGGTGTTTCACTTCCACCCCCAGTCTGTCTAAAAGTATGGGCAGAGAGTTCCACTGATCTCAAGATAAGATTGTATTCACATAGCTACTCAAAGGCAGCTCCTACGAATCTCAGGCGCTCTTCCCTCCAAGCAATAAAGAAAGATCTAAAAACTGAGGATCTCTTAAAACTAATTCCTTCATCTTCTCTCCTCTATTTATTAATTTTCCCCCCTATATAATCGCAATCAGCATAGCATGCATCCGCTCACAGCTTACAACCTATTTTTAAGGGTGGAATGAATCTAGAAATAATTCCGTTACTGCCCGTGTTAAAGGACTCGATCCAGATTAAAGAATGCACCCAATACAACTGGAGGATTGACACCCTTGGCATCCAGCAAAATCAATTTAGATGTTGTGCCTTCGAAAAGTAACAGGAAGATTGAGATTTAGGCATAAACTCTTCCACCCTTCCAACACACCCCAACATATTACGCCTTCCATTCACACACTGGAGATGCCCCCATAAATACACAGGATAAGAGAAAGATTTTCTGTATCCTGCTCCTTCCAGTGAACAAAGTGCCAATCTCAATAACAAGAATCAAAGGATTTTTTTTATTCCCCTTTGAAAGCTTGCATTAATTGTTTGATTTTTAGTGGCTTCATATAGGTGTCATGTTCTTCTACATTTTTATTGTGTCGTGACCAATACAATCCATTGGATTTTTTAAAAAAAAAATATCAGTGTGACTCCCTACGGTCAGTCCTAAGTAAACCTGGACATGATCCTCTCCTCCACGGTCTCGGGAGTAACAGACTTGGCGGGTGTCAGAGGGAGGGAAAACCGAAAATGTTTTACAATCCTCTGAAGAGCGGTGGTTCATATTTTCGTAATGGCTTCATCCTTGCAGCTGCCACGTTTGGCCGTTTGGCCGGCTCCTCAGACAGCTGCACGGGGCGCTGTCTTGCTTGGAAACTGATGTCAGTCCTCGCCTAAGCGAAAGGGACAGTTTGGTTACCATTAGAACTTTGGGAATGGTTATTTGTTGACTACAAAGCCCTGAATCCCCCCCCAAAAAACACGTTTGGGCTGGGACTTCTAGTCAGCCAAAATTACGTTTCCAAAACTCTGGATGAATCCTATCACCAAGAGAAAAAGAAAAGTGTTTGCTTTGTATGCATTAAACACGGAAGGCCCAATTGTAATTATTACTTTTAAATGCAGCAAACTTTTGTAGTATGGTTCATTACGGGATGTTATTGCTAATGAACAATAGTTGATTTTAAAAAATTTAAGTCATTAAAAAAAAACATTTCTGGACCTTTCCCGGCAAAGTCAAGGCTTAAATCTTACACCCACTTATTTAGGAGCGTGATTGAACTCAATGAGACTTATTTCTGGGTAGAAGTGTATTGGCTATGAGTATTCAGCCAGAATCTACACTCTATTTTAATGTAATTCCATTTCTGATCCCACTTTTAGGAAATGCAGAAAAAGCATCCTATGGGATTTTCATTTAGGTATGAAAACACCGTATCTGCTTTGGCTTAAAAAAAAAGTACATTCAGTTATCAAAATGTGAAGATTTCCCAGTTTCGATTATTTTAAAAATGCCTTTCTGGCTTTCTCCACCTGCCTCTGCAGCCGTTGGCATGTCACCCCTTTTAGACACCCTGGTTCCATATTTGCACAGAAGGAGAAGGGCAGCGTTGATACCGGCTCTACCGGCTCGGGGGATTTGTGGCCCCAATCCTAGACACGTTAATTTAGGAGTCCAATGCGACTCTCCCAGGCAGCCAACTTCCTGGAACCAAAACTCAATGTAGGTAGGCTTCTCGATCCCATAGGAGGCCCTGTGAACTCCACCCTTGTTACTCTTCTTCGGGGGCATTTCTTTCTTTCTTTCCTTCCTTCCTTATGCCAGCATTGATCAAGAAGCATTTGCTTATTTGCTCAGACCTTTCTAATGTTCCAAGTGGAGCGATTCCATTCCACTTCCAGAGCCAAGCTGCCCTATGGCAGGATTTCCCCTAGCAGGTTCCTTCCCATGGAGTTTCTTTGCTCCATATTGACCCATTTACTCTAGAGGGCAGCCCCATTTCTCCAACGAAAGCAAACTGGGGACGGAGTAGGATTCTGTCCCTAAATGATCACATCCTTCTATGTTCCTGCAAGATCCGATGAACTACTGCCGGGATTATGGATTTCCTTGTAAACTCAGCCACCATCCCTTCCTTCCTCCACAAAATGCCTTCAGGCAAGGGTCATTCCACCCCTCTTCCTAACAATCAGGGCTACAGATGCTGACTCTCTGACAATCTTTCCTTCTACACTTCTTTTTTGGGGGGGAGGGGGGGAGAGCAGAGCTGCACTAATACCTCAAAGCAAAATAAGCAATTTTGGTAGGGATGAATTGGGTGATACATACTAAAAATTTGTTACCCTTCAGGGTGTCACAAGATTCTTCCTCGTTTCGCAGTGGGTTTTTTCCCCTCAATCTACAATTTTGTGACGTCCTGGGGGCCCCGGAGCTGTATGTCTGCACCCCCCACACACACCCTTCCTGCCCCCGGGCCTGGAATCTCTCCTTCCTACCTGAAAATCTTCCTGTACAGCGATCCTCAAACGAAAATAACATTTCCTGTCATCCATTTGCACACACAGGACAAAAATAAGTGCCACTGGATTTCACAAGGACATTCCTTACCCTTGTTATTCATTCAGGCCACCTCTAAACCAAGCTTTGGGTGGGTGAGTTCTGGGACCCATCAGGAGGGCGGACGCCGTAACTCTAAACACATGTAAAGCGTCTTAAAGTCAAGTACTTCCATTTAACTGGGGTGTGGCTGGGGTTGTAAGGAAGATAAACGACTCCCCCACAACCTCGCCATCCTGTTCCATTTATCAACCCCCCCTCCCCAGCTGCAATGGCTAGATCAATCACGGGCGTGTTTACCTAGGCGTAAAATTCCACTAAGTTCATTGTGGTTCCTTCCCAGGTAAGTGAGGACGCGGCTGGCGTCTCACTGAAGTGAGGCTGCAGTTATCCGGGTTCATTGGCCTTCCACTATATAATTTGTGTGTGTGTGTGTGTGTGTGTGTGTGTGTGTGTGTGTGTGGCCTTCCCCTATATAANNNGTGTGTGTGTGTTTGTGTGTGTGTGTGTGTGTGTGTGTGTGTGTGTGTGTGTGTGTGTGTGTGTGTGTGTGTGTGTGTGTGTGTGTGTGTGTGTGTGTGCACGCATGTCGAAAAGCCTAGAGGCCTAACTCGGAAGGTGACCTCGCCGCCTAACCTTTTGCTGAGGTTTCAGTCGTAAACACCATGTGGCACTCTTCAACTCTACCCTTCCAGCACTCCTGAACACAGCGTGCCTTACTCCAGAGTAAACATGCTGAGGACCCGGCTGCAGCTCTCTTCCAGCTTCTCTACCCCTCCCCACCTTCATGACATCCACATTTTCAGACTGGAATTCAGTCATGAAGTAGCTCCAGTCTCTCTCTCTCTCTCTCTCTCTCTCTGTCTCTCTCTCTCTCTCTCTCACACACACACACACACATACACACACACACACACTATATATATATGTGTGTGTGTGTGCGCGCGCGCTTATATATTTGCTTATACATTTAAATAACCTTTGTTTAGTCTTTAGGGTGCCACTGCATTCTGATTTATTTCTGCTGAAACAGACTAACGCTTAATTACTTCCCCCGGTCCCCCCACCCTGAACTTTTTCTGCCTGTGTTTGCTTTAAATAACAAATAAAGGGCGGCTTGGGAGAGGAAGTCGTGGCTTGCTCACTCACCCTAGAGATCGTGTTTTGGTTTTCAAATAATGCCAAATTGAGACACAACAAATCAGCCTGGAGACGTTTGACCCTCCGGTAAACCCGGAGGAACCATAAACAAGATGAGGGTGGATAATATTCACACTCTCTCTCTCTCTCACACACACACACACACTTGGTTACTTCTGGTCACTCAGGGCCTCCCCCCCCGACACATTTTGGCTCTGCCTTGATCTTGCCACAGAGACCCACAAAAGTGGGGGGACGCGCGGAGGGCGCCCACGGGAGATGGCAGGGCAGCCCGGCAAGGGCGCAGGCGAAGCCAAGCAGGAAAGTCCACGCGTGGGGTTTTTTTTCGCCTCGACGGACAGAAGGCTCCGATCTTGGGAAGGGCGCGGAGGGAATGGGAGCTCTTCCCCCGCCCCGTGAGGGGGAAAGAGGGAAACGGAGGGACACCCGGGTCCCCGCCGAGAGATGCCGGCAAAGGGTCCCTTCTCCTGCCTCATGAAAACTCCACCCAGGCCAAGCGGGCACCCCACACCCACCGGGGGCCGCCGTCCGCGTTCAGACGACCCTCTCTCCTCTCTGCCCCAGGAGCCGGGGGTGGGTGGGTCCTCCGTCCGGCCTTCGAAGGCACAGGGGCAAGAGAGGGGCGGAAAGGCAGACGGAAAGGCGCTGGCCCAAAATCAGGCTTCCTTTAGCTTGAGCCCATTGTTGCATGTCCTGCACTCTGGGATGATTGAGAACAGATCTTGTCCTCCCTCTGCATGACAGCCTTCCAAATATTTGAAAAGTGCTATCATATCACCCATCTTCTTTTCTCAGGGCTAAACATGCCCAATTCTTTCAGCCTTTCCTCATAAGGCTCGGTTTCCAGCCCCCTAATCATCCTTGCCACCCTCCTCTGAACTTGTTCCAATTTGTTTGCCTCTTTCTTGAAGTGTGGTGTCCAGAACTGGACACAATACTCAAGGTGAGGCCAAACCAGTGCTGAATAGAGGGGGACCAGCACCTCACAGGATTTGGAAACTGTACTTCTATTAATGCAGCCTAAAATAGTATTTGCCTTTTTTGTAGCCACATCACACTATTGGCTCATATTTAGCGCCGCCGGTTCGCGCCTCGGCGGCACCCACCTCTCCTTGGCCTCGGCGGCCCGGTCGCGCTGCCTCCGGTTCTTGAACCAGTTGCTGACCTGGGTGGTGGTGAGGCCGGTGGCCTCGGCCAGCTCGCGCTTCTCGCGGGGGGACGGGTAGGGGTTGTGGGCGTACCACTCGCGCAGGACGCCCCGCGACTTCTCCTTGAAGCAGTAGCTGGTCTCCTCGCCGTCCCAGATGGTGCGCGGCAGCGGGAATTTCCGCCGGACGCGGTACTTGCCGACGGCGCCCAGCGGCCGCCCGCGCAGCTTCTCCGCCTCCACGTAGTGCGCCTTGAGCCAGAGCTGCTGGAGCTTGGGGTGGTTGTGGGGCGAGAACTGGTGGCTCTCCAGGATCTTGTAGAGCTCGCGGAAGTTGCCCCGGTGGAAGGCCACCACCGCCTTGGCCTTGAGGACGCTCTCGTTCTTGTGCAAGTGGTCGCAGGCCGGCAGGGACCACAGGAAGCGGCCCAGGCGCTCCAGGTTCCCCCCCTGCTGC